AATAGCTTATTTTAGAATCTACTAATATGGGGCGAGGGGACTGTGGCAACATAGTCATAATTATATCGACATCAACACTATCATCGTCATTGCCATCATTATCATTATCATTCCCACCACTACCATCATCATTATCATCGTCATCATCGCCATTGTGGTTGTTGTTTTTCTTTTTCCATATTGCTTTTTTATGCATCACAGTATAGGCTATTGCAATTTTTTAATATGTAAGACTACGTGTTAGCGGGCTTGTTAGTAAATTTGACTGAATGAATAAAGTATACCTGAATGTTATATTAACATCACCATCCCCAACGATATAATCATCATCATTGTCATAATCATCATCATAATATTATCATCAAAATCATCAACATCATCATAACCACCACCATCATTATCATCATCCTCATTATCATCATCATCATTATTATAATAAAAGCACTTTCGAAAAATAATAATGAATTGTTTTTGGTACCTATCCAGGTGGCGCTTTACATATAAACATTACTCAATGGAGTTGAAAGACTACTAAGGAGACATTACAATTAATAATAAAATAATGTGAATACTACATTAAACATTTTGCATCGTTAATTCAATAATGAATAAGAATTTTTGGAAAAAGATGAGAATGTCTCTAAACAACAGCCTTATCCGAAGAATTGAAAAAATGTACTAAGCCTGCAATGGGCCTTATATTTTGAACAAATAAACAGCTGTCAGAGAGTGGACCTTATGACGTGTTACACTCACTCTAGTGCATCAGGGTAATAAATATTCATGAGTTAATGGTTGTTTGTTTTCACTGTGTTAAATCAGTATAATGAATATGCATGAGTTAATGGTTGATTTAGCATTAATCCAGGGTAGTTAAAAGTTTCATGAATGTGAATAACTTTTAGGCAAATGGCAACTTCTGATAAGTGCAGAGAAAGTGGGTGGGGGAATATGTTAATTTGTGTTAGCAGGGGTAAGTAGGCCTGGTAGAGAAACCAGAAGGGAGAGGGAGTTGCATAAGCAAAGGCTTAATGGAAGGGTGTAAGCTGTGGAGTATGATCCAAGCAGGGACATGTCAGCTATTAAGGGGCACCAAAATTAAGCAAAGTTAAGAGGCATAGTGAAGCCTACCTAAATGATATTTGGTGATAGCTAGGAGCATCACAGTATTGTGCAACTCATATACAGTATAACAGCCAAGTGGAGTTAGTTTGACCGTGATTAACGTTAATGCATTGTTTACTGAATAACGTATATTAGATATAGATTTATTTGTAATATTGCATAGGGTTGAATTAATGCAGGAATGTTGAATGTGGTATGCATTATTAATGTAATACAGTGAGCTTAAATTGACTTTGGATCTATGCAAGTAATATTGTGTATTGATATTTAGACACGTCTTTAATACTTGCTGTACGTTTAGCTAGGGGTATGTATACAATTGTACATAGCATTGGTAGCATAAATCTATAGATTAACCATTTTATTAATATGAAAGTTTGAAAGTTAATCATGTTCCAGAATGCTTGAAATGATGTTTGTTTAGGATAACTATTCTAGAAAGGTGTATTTTGTTAATTTATAGATGGTCGAAAGAGTGCAGCTTAAACTCCAACGACAGGCTTAAGTCTTAAGAAGAAATTGAAGGTTACAAGCAGCCGAAGTAAGAGCTGATATTTATTTCATTCGGAACCAACTTGTATAGTGTGACAAGCAGTGAATACCCGGGAGAACGTCACATGTTTGGCTTCTCATCTGTATATAGTGTAGGGTGTTATGATGCAAACTAAATGTTCGACATATTATTTTATTTAACACCTTATTTGAATTTATAAAAATGTTTGACTATTATTATTATTATATATATATAATTATTATTATTATATTTCCTTGTACGTGACTGTGTGTGTGTGCGCAGGCACTAGGCCAATGGTCAAAACGAGGTGACAACAGCCCTCATTCATACCTGTCAAAAAAGGGGTGTTCGGCCATTAAAATTAATTTATTTTTAAATTGTCTTCATTATAGAAACAAAATTCCATATCAGTCAAAAAAATCCCAAGTACTCATGGTGCCATTAAAAATCCCATATCTGTCTCTTATACACATCTAGATGTGTATAAGAGACAGGTACTGTACTATCTCGAGAAAAAAAAGCCCATGCTATGTTGAAAAGAAGTCCATAGTCTTCTTTTCGAGGCTACTTTTGTAATCTAAAGGGAGGGCTTTGATTCGAGATGGGCTTCTTCTCGAGATTAAGCCCATTGGGCTTCTATTCGAGGTTTTATTGTATATTGCCAATGCAAAATATTGTAAAGCTCCGTCCACATAATCAAATTTGAATTTGCAAAGAAACCATCTATTATATGCTGATATTATTTGGAGCTACAGTCAAAATTTATTTTAAAAAAAGTATAAATAAGCTCGAAAAATTTTGTGACACATGGGACTCAATATGAATGTAAATAAACTAAAATAATGGTATTTAGGGAAATTTGAAAAATGATATCAGAATGTTGAAATGGAAGTTGATACATCGTACACATATCTAGGAGTTGCGTTTAAATTAAGACGATCGATGGAATAATACAATAGAACGCAACTGCCAAAAAGGCAATAATGTATGATATGAGTGCGAAATCCAGAGAAACATACAAATTCGAAAATGCGCTACTCTACTTTATTAACACTTCTTCAAAACACACTTAACACAATATCCGCGTTTAATGTTAACATACAAACTAGCATATTGAGCTATCAAAACATAAGTATAAAAGTTAAGCGTATAAAGTCAAGCGATTTGCGAAATATGGAAATATAATAGGGACCGACCCTGTCGTTTTGACACTCACGACAAATTATCAAGTGAATGAGTGTCTTTCGCAAATCTAGATACTTGTATAAAAATGATATTTCTACACAAGCCCGGAAATACCAATCACCTGATATAATTATACAGTAGTCACCTTATTCTAAAAATGCAACGTTCATCAAAAATAAAATGTTTGTTTCAGTCTAATCTTGCTAATTTTCAAGCCTAAATAATAAGGACTATAGTACGTCAAGTTGTTGCCTAGATAAAAAAGCAGTACTACACCCTGCCAGCCATCGTACGTTTCCGGATTATATTTCGTTGAAACCAATGTTTTAACTATGAATCACTAACTACTATACTACTATAATATTAACATCAAAATCGTTAATCTAGATTACCAACGTTCCTAAATGGTAGTCGTCGTATTTACAGTGTAAAATAATATAGTTTAAAATATATACATTTTGATCTACTGCGGCTACATATTATATTCTCTTAAATCATCAATAAATCAGAACTTAAATTATCTACCAATAAATATATGGGATAAACGCTTTGATGTAAAAATAATATTACCAATTTCAACATGTTTCAATAAACAATTCTTAATTACATGTAAATTAATTAATTCTAGGAAATTACACCTACTCATCAATATACGGGTGTGAAATTCGGAATTTTAAACGTAAAATACTGTTTTTGGTTTAGGAGTTATTAAATTAGAGGTCGAGAATGGTAGATGGAATAAGATTCAACTCCAGTGTCGTTTGTATTAGCTCTGTAACTTAAATTCGATCGAATATGAATTCCATTTTACATTGATTTGTCCTTTCTTTTTAATTTTCTTAGATCAGAAATCGATTTAATCCAAAATTGTATTATAGTCTTCCTTGCATTTACAAATTTTATTTATCATTATTTAACATAAATTAAACACAAAAAGTACAAATTTTGTTTAATTTGCTGATGTTAACGGCTAATATATCGACAAATAAACACGGTTTTTTAAATGCTTCAATTAATTCATTTTACACTTTTCTCAAGACATTGTATAGTAACTTAAATAATTTTTTACTCTTGCTCAACGCAAAGTTTTCAACTTACATTTCTGTAAAAAAATGTAAAAATATAGTAAAAAGGTTTTATTAAATTTTGAGCATTGTATTTTTATGAAGCTGGGTGGTTGAGGTTCTCATGCTAACGCAATAGTGATTAGGTTTGCTTTTGAGTTCCTTTCCAACAACTCGGTGGATTATTTACCGTCTTATTTTGACAATAAAAAATAAAAAGAATAAATAATAAAAAGAGAATTGATTATTTGACAACACTGGATCTTTATTTTATTATTATATAATCGCCAGTGGCCTATATATTGATGATGAATAAAACCCCAGTTAGGGTAACGAAGACAATAAATTGAAACGTAAAATTTGATGGTACATTATTATTACTTTATTATTACTATTCTATAAATGTTGGACGCCAAAATTACATTTCAAATATTCATTTAAATATAGCGATCTTTGTTTCAATAAACAATTAATTACATGTAATCATCTAAATTAGTTAATTCTATAAAAAAAAAAAATACACCTATTCACCTCGTACCGAATCAAGTATTTAATTTGTGTTTTATTTATTTATTTTTTTTAATCGAATAATTTTAGAGAGTGAAAGTGAATGTGTTGAATTCATTCATTGGGTCGTTTGTCGTTCGTTTGAATTCGTTCGTTTGTCCATCTGTCCGTACTTTTGAATTGATTTATTGTATGCCTTCCTAAGGCTTCCTTCGTCCATCATTGATCTTCCTTCCATCAAGCCATCCATTTATCTATCCATCATGCATGCCATCATGCATGCATGCATCTATCCATGTATCTCATCCCGTTATCTCATCCATACACACACCATCAGTTAATTTTTTTTTAAATTTATTTATTCAAATGAATGTATAAGTAAACCTTTGTCAGCAAACATCTTCAACTCCTTAAATACACCTATATATTATAAAAATATGATGCTAAGACCTTTGTGTATATATATAAATTACTGTATCACTCTGTCACAGGAGTAGGGACGCTGGCGTAGTGCATCCAAAACCTGGTCCGAATTTTGGTTTTGGTCCGATGTGAATGCAGCCTTATTTAATGAAGATTACTCTTGGCCTAGTTTATCATTGTTTCTAAACTCTGTTTTGCAACGGTCTACTTCTAGAGTTAAAATTTAAATTTTGCCTGTTTGTCGAATCTGTTTTACAGCAAAATGTTGATTTGATGGCCGATCGAAAACTACTGGACATGAGTGCATAAATAAATGGATTAACGCAGCTATTAGATATTCTAAGTAGATTACAAAAAAAGAACCAGGGTATCGCGGATGGATAGTATCCATTGTTTATAATCCAAAATCGAAAAATTGCACTCGGTGACGTCATGCACAGAAAGACAACAGCCACGATGATCATCGTTTTTAGAGCCTGAAGAATAGACGAAAATTTTCAGTGCCAACCATTAGTTGTGGTGGTTTAATAATAATAATGTTATTAATATATATATATATATATATATATATATATATATACATAATAATGATATTGATGTGTTTTAAAAATAATAATAATGTTATTAATATACATAATATTAATATTGATGTGGTTTAAAAATAATAATAATGTTATTAATATATATATATATATAATATTGATATTAATATTAACATTATTATTAATGTTAATATTAATATTATTATTATTATTATTATTATATTTAGTATTTATTTATTTATTATTATTTATTTATTTATAATTATTTATTATAATAATAATAATAATAATTATTATTATTGTTATTATAATTATTATTATCATTATTTTTATTATTATTATTATATATTAACATAATATTATGGTTAACAATTGTGAATGCATTTCATTCAATAAGCTAGATTATAGTCCTACCTTTTTTGGATTTCTGAGAGAATTTCCTGTGGACACGTTACTTTGATTGGACTCTTGTAAACGATTACTGTGTATTCTTTTAATAAGTGTTACAGCTGTAATGATGCAAGATACTACAACGATGACTGCCGGAATTATAAATTGTGTTGTAGGTTGCCACTTGTCCCACTCGTCATCTACAATAGAATACATAAGGTCTATCTGCAGAAATATAACATATATTTGTTATTGGTTAACAACTAAATCAATTTTATAGACAAGATGCACACTATGTGGAATGACCAACATAGGTGCATGGTATTTACTATTTAGCGACATGTTCAGCGGCATTTTTACGGAGGGAAGAAGAGCACTTGGAGTGCACGCCAACCAATACTCTTGCGCTCATCCCAATAGGATCTGCCACTATAAAAAATTTTTCAAGTAACGTCCCTCACTTTAATCATCGAGCTTCCTACTTATTGCCCCCAAAACCAATATATAACTTCTATAGATACACCACTGAACACGTTTAAATCGAATGATGTAGGCCTACATAAAACCTATTCTACAAACAATGAAAGATTAACATGTTGAAAGTGTATGAATCATTATTGTCATGCGTGCTAGGCCTATTTTTGTTACTCGGCACTAAATTGGTAATTTATTCAACTTAATAACTACTATTTATAAAAACAATGGCAATTAATCAACGGGCTACTTACATCAAATAAAGCATGAATTGAACACAAGATTGAAATCACCCAGATACCGACTGTAACTAATAGTTTTCTTTTGAAAGTGATGACAGTGCGAACTTTGAGTGGGTATTTCAAAACGAAACATCTTAAAATAGAAGAACAATAATCAAACTTGAATAGCAGTCTCATAATGTTGAAGGATAATAAACTTATAGACCTATATAAAGTACAGGCAAAGATACAAATACAAAGCTGGCGCCTAGGCCTATATACATTTTATAACAACAGAAAGAGATCGTGGTCCATTATTAGGCGAGCAGGCTAAGCCCAAATGGACAACTACAGAAATTATCTAATTGAAAATCGCAGCGGGCCTACTACCAGCTATTTTTATTTTCTGAAAATGTAGGTCTTTGAATTGTTTACAACTACCAAAATTCCCGTTGGGGTAGGCTACCTCAAAATGACGCATTTAAAATTGCCGATAAACTTGAAATTATGGTTTCAGCTAAAGTAAGATTAAAGTAACAATACTCAAACAATTATTTCAATTATACCTGAAATGTATTTCTAATATTCTTTGACGATAAAAAATGATTATTGATTTTAAAAGAAATGACAATTGTAATTACTATAGCAACGTTTGCTTTGCATATTAAATATCTTTTAGTGTGTACAAATCTATATGTAATATAATGATATGATAGAAATTATAGTTTTTTTTTGTATAAATTTTTAAAATAATTATTTAAAAGTAAATTGTAGTTGATTTTAGAACCCCTCCTTTGGGAGAGACCCCTATTCAAGGGTTTGGCTTCAAGTCAAAGGAATAGGCCTATATGTATGTTAATACTGCTACCAATCTATGTTCAGGGGGCAATTTTGTTAGTCATATATGTGAACGCTTAAGGAGTTCATTGTGCTTAAGAATGAAACTGTAGATGTAGAACTTCCCTTATTCAATACATAAAGACAAGCAATGATTTCCAATTACCAAGGTTGCT